CCCCCCACCTCTTCGTCTTCTGCCCTCCACCCATTCGTCTTCCAGGAGCTGAAGCCGCAGGTGTTTGTGAGCGTGCCGCGGCTGTGGAACCGGATCTACGACAGAGTCATGGGCGCCATGCGGGACGGCAGCCCCATCGCGCGGGCCCTGTTCGAAAAGGTGGGTTGTCTGGAGCGGGATTTTTGAGGGCGGGGGCGCGAAAAGCCAGAGCGGGCGGCAAAGGGGTTGCTGGAGGGGCGGGAGGCCGGGTGGAGCTTGCTTGGGGGGATGGGGTCGAGGGCGGCTGGGCGAGCCCTTGCCGCGGCCTTGGCTTTCGGGAGCTGACTGCTTGTTAGAGTGAGCCCCCAGGTCGTAGGCCGTGAGTTCCCCTGAGACGCAGCCGCCCGGCTGACGCGCCGCTTTTTCGGCCGGGTTTGGCCCAGCCACCTAGAAGCAATGCCCTTGCAAAGGAAGGGCTGTGTGTCTGGAGGCGGCCGCCACAATCCTGCCCATGCACCCGCGTACACACACACGCACATGCACAGTAATAGCACACACCCCTGCATCCCCTCCCCCCGCCGGCCAGGCGTATGCGTCCAAAAAGGCGGCCCTGGAAGCCGGGGACCTGAGTGGCGGCCGCTGGGCGCCGCTGTGGGACCGGCTGGTGTTCAGCAAGATCAGGGCCAAGCTGGGGGGGCAGGTCAAGTACCTAACCTCGGGTGGGTTGAACCTGGTGATCTGAAGATCTGACGATTTGGCGATCTGGCGATGTAGCTGTTCCGCCGCAAGGGCACACGAGGGCGATCTGATCGGTCCGGCGGTTTGGCGCGTTGGTGGCTGTGGGGTGTGCTGGTCCGGGGTGTGAAGGCGGCCGCGGAATTGCGTGCCATCAGCCTTAAACCCGACAACCTGATGACAAACCCGCCCAAACAAGCCCACTGCCTGACTTTGCATAGGCTCCAATTCTGCAAGGACGCGCCCTCCCCTTCCCGCCTGCCCCTAACCCCCCACACCCATCCCCCGCAACACACTCACACACGCACGCACCCACATACACACACACACTCTCTCACACACAGGCGCGTCCCCCATCAGTGCGGAGGTGATGCAGTTCCTGCGAATCTGCTTCTGCTGCGCCGTGCTGGAGGGCTACGGCATGACGGAGACCAGCTGCACCATATCCATCACGCGCCAGGACGACCCCACCATCGGACACGTGAGGCCCTGGGCGCGACCCTCTGTGTTTGTGTGCGTGTGCGTGTGTACGTGTGTGCAAGTGTGTGTGTGTGTGTGCGTGTGTGCAAGTGTGTGTGTGTGTGTGTGTGGTTGTGTGTGTGTGTGTGCAAGTGTGTGTGTGTGTGTGTGTGCGTGTGTGTTGAGGGGATATGGCCTTCAGCCGGCGGCCTGAGCGCAGAGCCCGGCCCGGGCCGGCCGCGGCCCGAGGGAATGGGGGGCGTTTGCGGGTGGCAGGGAGTATTGTCAAGGGGAGGGGGCCTGGCACTGTCAGGAGCACAGGGCCGAGCTGGTCCGGCCCGGAAAACCCACATGAACCAATCACGCGCCAGGACGACCCCACCATCGGACACGGGAGGCCCCAGCCGCGGCCCCGGGGGTTTCATTGGGTTTTACTACCATATTGATGTCAAAAGCAGGGGCCCTTTCCTGGATGCCGCCAACGGCAGCGCAGGGGCCGGGCCGGGCCGGGCCGGCGCGGCGCCAGGGGCTGTTGTACTGCTGCAGGAGTTCCCTAGGTGTACGGCAGTACAACGGCCCCTGATGCGCCTTACAGCCGAGGCCCCGCCGCGCCGTCGGCCGGCTGTACTGCTGTTACGGCGCGCCGCTGCCCGGCAGCTGCCCTGGCTGCTGACAGCCAAAAGCGCGACGACGCTCGCGGCGCGCCATGAGTGGTTTTTGGCAAGTCAATAACGCCACGATCAACAGCGAGTAACGGCGAGGTTTCGATCGGCCTGGGCCCCCGTCGCCACCCGAGCGAGGGCGCCCCTCACGATCTTGCAGCACACGGCCCTCGCCGCCCCTTAGTCTTCCCGGGCGCGCGCGCCCTTCCAGCCGATTGCCTCCGCGCTGCTCCTTGCTCTCTTCCGTCCCCCTCCAGCCGATCTGTACTAGCGCGCGCGTTTGCGTGATGTATTGCCCCCGTCCTCCTCCTCGGCCCGGCCACCCTGCGGCGCCCTGTGATGTGTTGCTGCCCCGGGACTCCCACCTCCACCCCTTCTCCCTTTGACTCCTAAACCCTGAATGCGGCGCCACGTGGTGCTGCTGAGTGAGGCCTCCCACCCCCCCCCCCTCATCCCCTAAACGCGACTCTGGCGCCATGGTGTTGCCCCAGGTGGGCGCCCCCCTTCTGTGCACCCCTGGGCCCCCACCTATCACCAAAACCCTCCTACCACCTAACTCCTTGTAACCCCCAAACCGCCCATGCCCCTAAACCCCGGCCAGGTGGGCGCCCCCCTACCGTGCTGCGAGGTGAAGCTGGCCGACATCCCAGAGATGAACTACACGCGCAGCGACAAGCCCTACCCACGGTGCGGTACTGCGCAGTGTTTGTGTTTGCGGTGCATGCTCAGTAGAGACGCATGCATGACACGGTGGTGCGCATGGATGGGCCGATACGTGCGCTTGTATTGCACCGTACACACGCATGTATTGTCGGCCACCCTCGTCTGCTGGGGGGGGGGACCGCGGCGCCCCACCCGAGATGTTGGATGGCACGTGCAGAAACATAATCATAGCATGTCTATAAGGTATCATACATGACAAGCAGATGGTGTTATACACACAGACACAAACATCTTACACACAAACACGTGCATGACATATTGTATCCACGTGCATCTATACATGCGTGTGTGCCACGCAGCGCGGCGCGAAGCGCCAACCCTGGCTTAGCTGCCTCGCCCTGCGTCCGTTCCTCTTCTGCAGGGGTGAGGTGTGTGTGCGAGGGCCCACCATTTTTAAGGGCTACTACAAGGATGATGCGCAGGTGGGTGGGCGCAGCGTGAATGTGGATTTGTGTGCATGTGTGTTTACGTGTGTATGCAGCTGCAATTTGCTCGACCTCAAGGCTGCTCTGCTCGCCACCTCCACACAGTTAACCCCCTCCTGTTGCCGTCTTTGCCGCCGCAACATTCTAAAAATTTGATTTGCGTCTGCTCCACCCCCCTCCCCCCGAAAAAGACGCGAGACGTGGTGGACGCCCAGGGGTGGCTGCACACCGGTGACGTGGGCATGTGGCTGCCGGGCGGCCGCCTCAAGATCATCGACCGGTGAGTCACACATACATGCACACACGCAACAACTCCTTGCGCTCGCCTGCTTCCCTTCTCCCGGTGTCTGTGTCCAGCGTGCCTTTCTCCTTGCTACATGCAACACCCCGGATTTTTGTCAACAAAACCCCCGCAAACCCCCGTGACGTCACCCTACGACACACATACATTGCCACTATCACCCACCCCCCCAGGAAGAAGAACATCTTCAAGCTAGCCCAAGGGGAGTATGTGGCGCCAGAGAAGATTGAGAACGTCTACGCACGCAGCCCATTCGTGCTGCAGGTGCGCGATGTGTGTGTGTGTGTGTGTGTATGTGTGTGCACACATGTGTGTGGCTGTGTATGGTGGGTGGTTGATTTGCTTGTGAGTGTGCGCGCTTGCACGCGGGCGCGTCCGTGGTGGCTGGTCGAATGGGGCGGTGTCGATTCCCGGATCCTCTCAATATCGACGGCATGACGCTGCCTCAACAAAACCTGGGGCGGCGTCACGTTCGCCCCCATGTGGGCCCTTATTCACTCCCAAAGATAGTTGGACGCTTGACTCATATGTGACTGTTGGCTTGTAGCTCGCCATCGACTTGTATCCAACTATTGAATCTTGCAATTCACAACAGTCCCTCCCTCAGCCATCGCCCCCGTCCCTCACCCGCCTGACACTGCGCTCCACCCCCTTCCCCCCTCAAAGTCCTTTGTGTACGGCGACAGCCTGCGGGCGCAGCTGGTGGCGGTGGTGGTGCCGGACCCGGAGCACCTGCTGCCCTGGGCGCGCGACAGGGGGTGAGCTGGGAGGCCGGGGGGCGCGGGGGGAGGT